GTGTAAAAATGCTCATAAACTTCTCTGTTCATCACAGTACGTAATGGTCCAGAAAGTGGCAGCAAAGTGATGGTCCAGTTTCCACGGAGCCAGTGCAAGGATCTCCCCAAGGGTGATGTGCTGCAGGACAACAAGTGGAATCACCTCCGGGGGCCATTCAAGGAGGTGCAGTGGAATAAAATGGAGGGGCGTAACTTTGTGTACAAAATGGAGCTCCTCATGGCTGCCCTCACCCCCTGCTGAGACCCCATCAGCCTCTCCCTGGGTGCTGGAGCCATCACCATGCTGCGAACAATCACTGACCTGTGCAGCAAAGGGGAAGGGAACCCATGGGGCAATACAAGAAAGCAAACCCAAATCTGTTTCCTGTACAGATCCATACATTGTAGTGTTTGTAATAAAACTTTTTTTTCAACAACATATAAAATACAACTTTTTGAAGAAGTTCCTTTCAGCTGTGTCTTTGCAGATTGCTCTGTCTAGAGTAATATAGCTGAGTAATTAATGTATTTTTCTTTTACAAAATGGAATTCAGTGGGCTTTTGCTACACAAAAGGTGTGTGCTCAGTCGTTCCCTTTCCTGTCGTGCCCTTACTTGTTCTTAGTAGATCTTTGCAAGTATTTGTGAAAAATAAAAGTTGCAAGAATTAAACTGTTCTATTAATAAGCCTTTCGCTGGCTCACACCACAGGGAACAGCTATTCCTTGTGGAAGGTAATGGGTTGGTTTGAGAAGTGGGACAACAGAGGAGAAGCAGAGCTCCCTTGTCAGAATTAAGGCTTAACAAAGCTTAAGAATCAAGAAACAGTCTTCACTGCCTGACATTCTTGAGTTTGTACATTGAAGTGTCTTCTGGGTGACACATTTCTTTTTGAGACACATTTGCTTAGCGATTTGTTTAAGTTGAGAGTGTTGGAAGTCGCAGCTTGTGGCAAATGTCTCTGTGATTACTACAGATGAGCCTGTGTGGTGTTGGTTACTTTGCTTGTGTTTCCCTGCTTTTTGCAAGCTTGTGGAGGAAAGGGTCTTACTCTGCTTACAGAATTCTGACCATTTATGGATGACTTCTGTAAATATCTAGGTAGAAGCAAGTAACTTATGCAGTAGACCTTGAATCTCCACCTGTGATGGGTTTTGTTGGTTTTTTTAATTTTTTTTCCCTGCACTGTCACTGATTATCATCCACAGAAACAATAATATCCTCCTGAAGATCAGCTCTTGAATTCATTGAAAATAAAAAAGTAATGTTTTGACTTTTTTTGTTATAATTGTAGCCTTCTTTAAGCTTCTAATAAGGTGTTGCACAAAGCTTTTGCTTTTGTGATGAATTGCTAAAGGTCTTTTTGAAACCTGTCTATATGAACTGGCTCAGACGTATGTCCATATTGTGTGTATATATATAAATATATATGAGAACTTCTTGCACATAGATCATGTTTGAATTGAACATCATAGTTGTCTGATGACAGTTGTTATTTTGCTGTATTCTTGAGCAATAAAGAGTAGTTGTAGGAAATATGTATTAAGCAACTGCCCTGGCAAGCTGCTGCTCAGTGTGTATGCAAAGCAGCTACGTTGGTGTTTGCCAGCGTAGAACATCTTAATTCAGTTCCTTGTTCTTCTCTGCACTGAATTATGAGAGAAGGGTTCCTTTCAGGTTCTGATGAGTTACCCAAGCCAGCTTATGAACGTGAAAATACACTAGTTGAAAACAGTCTCTGGATCTTGAAAGGTGGGTACATCTTATGCAGCACCTGTGATGCCAGGTCCCACGCTGAATAATTGCAGGCAGAAGGATTTTGATCCGTGGTGCACAGTTCAGCCAACAGCCTGATGAATCTGCTTGTGCATCTGAGTATATAAGATTATATATTGTCACTCCTGGCAACATAAGAAATCGTCTCTTAATAATTAGAAGATGAACATACGAAACTTCAGTGTGTTTTTACACATCACTGTTCCTGACCTGTATTGATAGGTCTATATGTGGTGATAACCTTTTTATCAAATTAATTGGATAAAAAAAATTTATTACCAAGTAACAGGATCACTGTGGAGCTATTAGGGTCTCATAGTTACATTTATCCCCTTCTGGAAAGATACAGTGGATGCAAGAGGACTTGTGTTACAGAAGTGCAAACACTACACATCAGCAGTGAAGACATATGTCAAGACTTAAAGGCCTAGCTAAATATATATACACACATATACATAATTATTAGGGACCGGGAGAGATTTCTAATTTTAATGGAAAACATACTGCTTAGGCTTCTAACAGAGGAACAGTCTTGAAATTCTTGGCAGTGCATCTTTGAACATGAACTGAAGAGATTAGCGGATGATTAAGACCTTTACAATTGATTGCCAAAGCACTCTTGCTAACTTGGACATCTCTTTAATTAGTTTCATTGCAAAATGCCTTAATCCCTTTGATCACTTGGAATGCTCTAAATATTAAATTTTCTGCTGTTCTGCATGGAGTTTACAACTGGGCTAAGAATAGCTATTAATTTTTAAAATCCCAGTTCAGCAGCTTGCTGCAAGACTTGAGATATTTCAGGCAGCTCCAGCATAGCAAGAAACTGCTACAGGCAGCTTAGCCTTAAATTCTGTGTATCAAATATTACCTTAATGCATTTTGATAATTGGTTTCAGAAAATGAATATTTTCTAAGTGACCCTAGCTATGTATGTAAGCATGTTGCATTCTGGGTAAAATGTGTGGGTGACGAATTGTCTATATGGAAGCAGTACATAGACTAACTACTGTGTGTCCTCACTGAGGATTATTTGAATCCCTGTTGCTCATCTAAGATAATACTGCCTAAAAGCAAGGTTGGCACCTGTGTCAGTAGCCAAGGATGGGTGCCTAAAGTGGCTGTATCTTTTGCCAGGCTGGGAGAGGTAGAGCAACTGAGCCAGCTGGAAACTTTTAACTGCTGCTACAGTGCATCTTAAATTGACAGCTTTTAAATGGCCATTTCCTAGTTTCATCCCGGCTTGCAACTATTGTAGTTTAAAGGTGCAAGTGACCTCTACAATTACAGCAACGCGTTCAAATGGTCATTCACATCTGTATGCATTTCCTGACTTTTCCTTTGACAGTAATGACAGCATTCAGGTCAATGTTAGCAGAGAATAATGGTGTTACTGCAAGCTGTGCTTTTAGTCCTTTCTACATAAGTCTGGCAGAGCACCTGCTGTATATTCAGCTCAGCCTAATGTGTAACTTCATGTTCAAGTTCTAAATTTAGGGAGTAAAATAATCTGGAACAGATAAACAGAAAAAAAATATAAACAATATCTTCTGTATGCTATAAGGATACTTTACAAAAATACTTCATCTTGGTGAGTAATACAGATGCTCTTACAACTTCTTTGTTATCAGACCTTACTTCACTCGAAGATACAGAAGACTGTTAATATAAAGTGAAGAATTATAACCAACTTACTTTGCCAAACTGTGATGTAGCTGGGATTTTTTTTTTTTTAATGTCTCACCTGTTTTCAGCTTCTTCCAGATGCAGGAAGGAGCAGTGAGCTGAATCTGGTAGCCAAATTTATGAGTGAATGTGAGGTCCTTTGCACTGCAAATGGCCAGTTCAAGCAGGGGGTGATTTTTAAAGTTCTATGTACAAGGTGTTTTCAGGAAAGCCTTCTTGCATTGCTGTGCACTTGGACAGAAATTCCTTGTTTTTCTGTATCTAACCCATCATGCCTCTGCACCTGAGCATCCTAGTCCCTGACCAGAGGGGAAGCTGTCAGCCTGGCCAGTAAAAGCCTTATGCAAACAAGTGAGCTGATGTGTGAGAGGCAATAGCAGCAGTTCAGCTCAAGAAGACACGTGGCAATCTGCAGACACAGACTAAGTCCATGGTCTCTTACATGTTCAAAGTTTATTTCACACTGCAAAATTCTTCTCATTACAAAAGCAAAACAGGGTAGTTGGAGCCTGGTCAGTTTAGTGTTTTCTCACTCACAAAAGCAAATGTTATTCAACTCAACAGATCTGCAAGTGGAAAATGTGTGATATGGAGATTCAAGAACACACTAGTTGGATCACTTCATGTTTTCTTACAACATAGGCAAGCAAATGTGGCTTCTCAATAAAAGCAATCTCAGAACTGCATTTGTAAATACCAAATTTCGAAGTGCTGCTGTTTTAATTTCTTTTTTTTTTTTGTCAGGTAGTTTATTAATCAGTAGGCTAAGCTTGCAAAGGACTTGACATCTTTCACAATGAAACTGTTCAGTATTTTTCCACCCTGCTAGTGTGATGTTCTCAGTCTTTTATCTGACCCCTCTAATCATGGTCCTCTTCAGTGTCTGTGTGTAGTTCCTTGTTTAACAACCTCTCCTAGTAATGTCATAAAATGTGTGTTAATATTCTGGGGTGGTGTAAACAATTGGAAATGTAAGTGGGGGAACTTTGACCAGCTTGGCGTTGTTTCAAAGTCAGTTTTGCCTCATGAAGAATTACAGCTCTTCAGAGCTTCAGGAAATTCCTTACACCCGTAAGTAGCAGCATAGGCACAATAAACAGGATTCAATGCTTGCAATCGATTTTTCAATGTAATACTGTAATTAGACATTAATGTTGAAGGATGCCAGTGGGTGCTCTGTCTGTAATAGGAGACTTGCTGTAGCCAAAATACTGGTGTCTTTCAAGACCATGATAATTTCCTTTATGGGTTGATCTTAGAGGCTTGGTTGGTTTGTTGTTTTAAGTGTGGTAGAGACTGTAGATTTTATTAAATAGTCAAAGAAGTGTGTTTATGCTCAGCATGAAAGCATGCTCTTTTTTTACTTTGACCTTTGCTAGCAGAGCCAAAGTCTTAACAGGTCAAAGCAGCTCCACCAGACACTGCTGCTTTCATGTCTAATTAGCTTTGCAACTCATGATGTTTCCACAGTAGTCACAAACATTTTACCTTCTCACTTGCCTCGCCAATACTTTCTCCTGAGGTAGAATTGTTATTTTTGGTATGAGACAGTCCTTGGCTAACACTCAATAGTTTCCAATTCAATCTCTTCAGTTGTGCTCGCTGCAAACAAAAGGATATTATTATTGATTGGCAAATGGGTTGGAAGGTCAGTGCTCCAAAATTAACAACACTGTGTTAATAGCCGAGACATTTTGAACTTCTTAATATTAGCTCAAGCTTACTCATCTACAATTAGGTTTAAATACGTATTTTCAAAATATTTAACTGCATAAAAAGTCCCTCACAATCTTTAAAGTGACACTGTTTTTTCCCAGTGTAGGACTAAAAGTACTATGGAAACCAGTCCACAGGGCTGGTCCTTATACCTCTTTTTGACTTATGAAAGGAGGGGTCTTTTAAGTGGAACTGGGGAAGCAGCTAGGTCCCTGCTTTGGATCAGGTTCTAGAAGACTACAGAGCAAGTCTCCAGAACTGTCTTTTTCCTGAAGTCTGCTGAATAAGTGTGCTTGATTCAGACTTTGTAGAACCCTGGCTATGTAGGAAGATTGGCTTTAACTGGAGGGAGAGGCTTTATCTAAACAGAAGCCAGTATATTCTGGCATGAGAGGAAAATTTTCAGTAGCTACAGAAGCCTGTGAGTGGTGTGTACAGTGTGAAAGCAGCAGCAGCCCTTAAAGGTCTAGGTGAGCAGCAGAAAGGAAAGAGACAGCTTGAGCCAAATTAATCTCTTCTCATACCAGGTCTTCCAGAGTTCACACAAAGTCTGGGCGATGAGGCTTAGAATTCTCAAGTATCTGTGTTGCTGTAGTAAAATACTGATACTTAGGCTGCTTGTAACAAAACAGCTTAAGCAGCACTTACTAGAGAAGAAATACAGACCTTTTACTTAGAGGACAAGAAACCGCTAGTGGAGCTGCACTGACAAAGAAGGGAGGTGAATGCCTGAAATGTTTTGAAGTGGTAAAGGAAACCTCTTGTTCCAAGGATGTGCCCAGAGCTTGAGCCCAGGCCTGTACTGTGGCACCTTCTCTTCCTGCCTAGGCTGTACATCCCTGTTTGTGGCTTGGGAGTTTCTTCTCCAATACGTGAGTGTTCCCTTCAGTGCAGCCCTTGATCTGCTTTTCATGACTGGTTTTTTTGGTGACTGTTAGGAGTCTGCTTCTGATATTAGTCAGTGTTCACTGAAGTCTGCAACTAGATCAAAGATGAGGACAGATGAAAGGGGGATTTGAGAGGAAAGGAAGAGTTCAGCCCTCAATGAAGTGAGGTGGCAGCAGCTCCCAAGGCCATCCTGTAGGATGATGATGCTCTTAACTTCATCTCATGCCCTTTGATGAGAGGTTATTGCAGCTCTGGCCTTTTCTCCCTAAGTTTTGCAATTAGCAATATTGGATGTATTTTGTGGTTTCTGATGCAAAATGTATAAGGTAGATAACCCTGTGGGTATCTGCAACTAAGTAGTTATTATTCGGTTGCCTCAGCTAGTAAAGAGTTGGAAAGGGTAACTGTACTGAGCCCTTAGTCTTGCTTCTTAGTATCCCTGCTTAGCACCTTTATGGCTCAAATGACAAGTGAATTTTAGGCTAAAATTAGGACTTGAAAACGCTATCCCTTGACTGCTTTCCTAGAGAGAGATACCTGTTAGTTTGTGTGTTGTCTTCTTCTGGAATAGGTGCAGAGATTTATTACACAGCCACATGAAGCAGATCAAAATGGCAGATACTGCAGCAAGAAATGCAAAGAGAACTGCTACAAAGTGTAGATCTTCATAGATGATCTCTGTAGGGTGGACAGAAAAAACATTAGTATTATAAAATTGATGACAAGCAGATTAATGTTTAAAAACTGGGTAAAGCCAAGAACTCCCAGGTAGTTCATACCGTAAACATTGACTATGATGGTGCCATAGGTGTTGGTTCCAAACTCCTCTGTTACAGTGATAAAATAGTAGCCAGCATCTCTCATGCTCACGTTCAGGAGCTGTATGGAGCCATTTTCAAAAGTAGTCACTCTGTCTTTGTACACTGTGGATATGTTGACATCAGTGCCACTTTTCCACTCAACAATTTTGGTGGTGCCCCAGCTCGACACGTGCCGCCACTCAACGCTGGCAACGCCTCTGCACGAGTATTCAACAGAGAGCAAGATGTTTTGTGCCACTGTTGCATTGATGTTGGGATGTGGGATGACTAATGATACTCCTGCAGGAGCTGAAAGACAAAGGATGGTGATGAGTGTGGAGGGGGGGCTGCACCATCCATCCAGGACAGGAGCTCTGGGCCAGGATTCACCCTGCCTATCTCAGAGGTTTGTTTTAAGAGAGGATGGATTATGCTTTGTTGTTTCTCTTTCTTTCTTCTGACCATAGGAACATGGAACAAAATGAACATATATACTTAAATTAAACACAAAACACACATTTTTTATTCAGTGATAGTCAGGAGAAATGTTTCCACCATACAGGACAAGTAATTGCACGTGTTTCAGTCTTTCAATACCCAAGAGGAGAGGGTTTGGAAAAGTATTTTTGCGTAAGGGAGTATAACATGTTCTAAAAAATGAGCAATGCTTCATCAGTACTGGCTTTTCTTTAAAATCCTGCGTTTAAACAAAAAGTTTAACTGCCATGGCCAAGGTAACCTATTATACAAATGAATTAACCTCCCCCAAGAGCAAGGGGGTAGCAGGCTTAAGTATGTGAAGACTTGGCAAGGACTTAATAATATTTTCAGGACATGTGATCAACATCTGAGACAACAGCTCTGTAAAGGCAGCCAGTTCTGTGCCAGTGCAGATAAATCACAGAGAATCAAAGGTACTCAGTTTCACACAAAGTCAGGCCTTTTATGTTTCTGATGATTCCCTGGCAAAAAGGCACATGAAAGACTTCTCACCAAGTTTCTCCTTACGTGATTACAGAGCTGTTCATAACACTGTGAAACTGAACTGACCAGTTAGTTTAATGTGTAACTGCAAAAAATTTCTGCTTGCGTGGGGCTATTTCTGCATGAAGATTTGGATGAACACCAAACATTCAAGTCTCAATTGGCATACTTTTTTTTTTTTTAATAATAATAATAATTAGTGGCAAGTTTGAGACACTTGGCCAGAGAAAGAAATCCTGTTATCTACATGCAAAAATCAAGTGAGACACAAAGCAGATAAAGCACAGCGTAAGCCTCACTGCTGATGCCTTTTCCTGGCTTGGCTTGGAGCAGCTCACCCTTTCCTGTGGGAACAGCCTGACTGCAAGAGCAGAACTCAAAAAATCATGCTGAGCTGCCAATGTCTGTAGCCCAGTGGGGAGGGAGGACAGACCCCCAGCTATGCTGAAGCAGTTCAAAGCAGGACCCTTGGGGACGCTCCTAGAGGTCCTGCAGAGTCTTCAGGGAAAATAATGGTTAAAAAAGACAAAGGAAAAAAAAAATCTCCAAGGGAAAGAAATTATTTTAAGATCCTGTTAAAAATTAAGAACACCCCCATGGCCAGCAAAACCTCAGAGCAACCACAAATGGGGAGAGATGGATAAATGAATTACAAGTTGGCTTTTCTCTATTTAGGATCTGTAGCAGAAATCAGAAACTTTGCTGTTCAAGATAAGGCAGGAAAGCTGGGGAAGCCAGTTTGATTCCCAGGTGCTCAACTATGGGACCAGCACAGGAGAAAGCTCCAGCCTCTCTGTATTTGTTAACGAGAGGGGATCTAGGCTTTTTCCAGAATAACACTGCTGGGATTACCCTTTCATGGACATCTTGTCACGCTCCTGCTGCCAGTTCCCCTTGCAGGGACACCACACTTTCCCGGTAGCTCAGGGCACCCTCAGCTGAGCTGTGCCCTCCCAATCACCCTGTGTGCAGGAGAGACTAACCAGACTGTGAAAAAGGGGGTTGTGCCAGCTAGAGAAACAGAACAGACGGGAACCTCTGGTAATCGCTGCAAATTGTTCTAATTGTTTTCTGTTCCATGTGTTTATTTAAAGGCCTTTTGCTCTGCTTCTGACTAGACAGGGGCTGAGTGTCTCACCACGGTGCCCCTTTCATGTTTTGATAAAGCCATGGCTTTGTTTTGAATATGTGGTCGCAAGGTGAATGTAAAAAAAATAACAACACAACCATAAATAATCCTTCCATTAAATTACTTGCAAATGTGTTCTGTCCCTGCCCAGCACACAAAGCCAAAAAAGGCAATGCAATAACCATTCAAAAATCTTTTCAACACGCAGGCTGCCTCAATCACCTGAACCGATCTAATCCAAACAGGGCTGCATCATCAGCCTCGAAAGCAAACATCACACCCACCCCAGCGCCCAGCCAAGGCCGCTCCGTTCTGCTGCTCAGCCAGACCCTCCGCGCCCAGCAAAGGGTGCCCCGAGGAGACGGGGGGACCGGTGAGTGCTGCCCCGGGCACGCTGCTGCACTCCCGAGCTGGACGTGTGGCTCTTGTGTACCGAGCCTGGCCATGGCAACGAGCCGGGCCTGCAGCGTGATGAGGAGTGGGTGGGAAAGGGTCAGCAGCGAGAGCCCTCCAGGCAGGGGTTGTGGAATGGGGGGCAGCTCTCAAACAGGGGGGAGAGGGCACCTCTAAAACGGAGGTTTGAAACTCCGGGGCAGTTTCTCCACCCTTCGAGTTCGTGCGTCACCTCGATGATGCAGGAGAAGCCCGTGACGTGTCCAAGCCAAACCCAGGGCTGGCTCTGCCCGCCCCAGTTCCCGGGGCAGGGGCTGCAGCCCCCCCAGCCCTCGCCCGGCGAGGAGCGGCCGCCCCGCCGCCTGCAGCCCCGTCCCAGGGCTCCTGGGTTGAAATCCACCTTCCGTCTTCCCCGCCGCCTTTCCCAAGTGACTCAAGCCCTTTCGGGTTGGTCACCAGGATTTGTTTCCTCCTCCTTGCCTCCCCTTGCTGTTGGGATGGCAGAGGGGACCCGCAGCCCCGTGGGGCTGCTCTGGGCTGGCAGGGCTCCGCTCCCCCCCCTCCTGAGCAGCACGAGCAGGGACGACCCTTCCAGACCCCCAGGCAGCAGCGATGCTGCCTTGAAGCCC